GGGGGGGGGGGGGGGGGGGGGGGGAATGGGCGGGGCGGATGGGCGGGGCGGATGGGCGGGGAGGGGGGAGGGGGGAGGGGGGATCGGTATGGGTAGCGTGTTATCGGCTTGGCATCGGTCGGCTTGGCATCGGTCGGCTTGGCATCGGTCGGCTTTGGCATCGGTCGGCTTGGCATCGGTCGGCTTTGGCATCGGTCGCTGAGACATCGGTCGCTGTGGGCGGGCCGGCTGCGTGTTGATATTTGATACAGTATACAGTGCGCAACTACATTATGCCGAGTGTGGCGATGAAAAACAGCAGCGCGACCTTGACTCGCGGTATTGTCGGCGAGGAGGCGTCGTAGAGCCAGACCAGCGGCTCGCCGCCGGGCGCGGTCTGCTCGACGACGACAACCACGGGCATCGACGCAATGATCGGGCTGAGGCCGACGCCCCAGACCTGCTTGACAGGCGCAGGCGGTGTGTGACCGGCCGGCGAGCCGGCACTGCTGCCTTCTCCGCTTTCCCATGCCTGCGCCACCGTCCGCGCCACCTCGCACCGCCGCGTCCGCCGGTCGAACCGGAGCTCGGTGATGGCCAGATTCTGCGCAAAGGCAGGATCGTTGCCGTAGAGCATGTTGCTGTCAATGACAAGGTCAAGGAGAGCCTGCGCCGACCAGTGCGCCCAGTGCGGCGAGGCTACGGCCGCGTCGGCAGCCGCCCCGCCAAACAGCCGGGTGATGTGGGCAAGCAAGTCCTCGTTGCTGCTTGCCGGCGAGAGCCCTCGCCGCGCCCGCCCGCGCGCCATCCGTTGCGGCGACGCCAAGCCGCCGGGCGTCCCTGAGCGGGCCCGCCCAGAGCTCTCGCCCGCGTCCGGACTCGGCCCCGAGCCAAACTCCGAGTCGACTCCCGAGTCCGAGTCCGACCCGACGCCTGATCGCGAGCGCCGCTTCCGTGACGGTAGCTGCAGGCCGCCCGACGGGCGCGAGCTTGGGACGTCGAGCACAAGCGGCGAGAGAATCTCAACCATCGCGCCGTTGTCGTCGTCCATCTCGCGCTTGCGCTTCACTATCGGCGAAGTGCAGATTGCCGGCGGGCTCGATGACGCGCCCGGCATGCCCTCGTCGCCAACCATCATCGAGCTGCCGACTCCGTTGGAGATGAGTGCCTCCCGTGAGTACGGCGCATACGCCGCAGTGACGTATGCATGCGCCGTCGCCAGCCTCAGCTGTCTCACGTGTCGAAGCACCGGCTCGGACAAGTTGGCCGTCTGCAGCGCGCTCGCCAACCGCTGGCGGGCTTCTCTTGCCGGCCCGTCCGTCGCCATGATCTCATCGATCAGCGCCATGATGACCTGCTTCATGACGTCGGTTACAAACGGTGTCTCTTCTAGCACCTACAGACATGTCGATCCACGTACAGCACCGAGCCCGACCATGAGCCCGAACACCATGGCCACCACGACCACGTCCACGACCACGACCACGACCACGACCACGACCACGACCACGACCACGACCACGACCACGACCACGACCACGACCACGACCACGACCACGACCACGACCACGACCACGACCACGACCACGACCACGACCACGATTACATCCACGTCCACGACCACAACCACGTCCACGTCCACGTCGACGACCACGACCACGTCGACGACCAAGCGCACAACCATCATCACAACCACGATCGCGACCATCATCACCATCATGACCACCACCACGATGATGACCACCACCACAATGATGACCATCATCACCATCATGACCACCACCACCACCACCACCACCACCACCACCATCCCCACCACCCATTCCCGCCCTCCTCACCATTGGATGAGTACACCCCCTCCCCTCCTCCCTCCCCTCCCCTCCTCACCTCCCCTCTTCCCCTTCCCCGACCACGTACCTTGCCCACAGCCTCAGCATACCGCTCCCTGTCCTCCTGCACCAGCTCATGCACATGCATCATCCTCCACCCTCCTTGCCCTTGGCCCTGACCGTCTCTACACTCTCGTCACAGTCGAGTGTCCTCCCCTTCCCCTTCCCCCCCCCCTCCCCCCCCCAACTCCCCCCCCCCACGGTCATTGTCAGTCAAGTCGCACTGACAGAGACAGAGGTACGTACATGTACATGCCTCGCCACATCGTCACCACAGGGCTGACATCAGACAGTGCGCAGATGTAGCGCGGTCTGGTGTGCTCATCGCCGGATACCCATCACCTGGTACCTCCATCATCTCCTGGTACCCCCCACCCCGACATCGCCTGACAACGTAGAGATCTGAAGGTTGTGTCAGCCCAGCCGGAAGCACAACCCACACGCTTGCCATGTACAGCGTGCTTGCCATGTAGAACGTTTTACCGTGATCGTCATCACCA